GCGAGTGTAGTGCGTGTTTGTGTCGCGGGAGGGGGCTGTAGTCTTCCCCCGCTGAATGCTGAGATCCGGCGCCGCCCTACACGTCGGCTTAAATGATTTCCCCAACCAGGTATCTCCCACAAGCGAAGCACTTCTTCAGCCGGGACAAGCTCTAAGTTCCTGCCCAGTCTCCGTTATGTGTGGTAATGTAGTGAATGTGAATGTAAGTGTATGAAAGTAAGGTGAGAATAGGACAAGGAAGAGGAAGAGGATCGCGCGCGGTCAGTGGCCCGCTTGTTAAGGTACTGCTCCGGCATCCATCTGGTACTGATCGGAAAAAACACGGAAAACTACCGATCAGAACAGCCGGCCTCTAGAATTATCATCCAGACAGCGACTGAATTCGACCTAGCTGACAAGCCAGTGGTGAAAATCTGCCACCAATGAAACTCGGACCCAGGACCTTCCGGTCAGAGGCACTGCAGTGGCCTCTGTTGATGCCCCGAGGCACCTCTCCCGGTTTCAATCGCTGATTACATTTCCCGCTCTTCCCGGTGCCACCTCCGTTTGACTTTCCAAAACCAGAAATAGAGATTTTTTCCATGAAGCAAAATCCTTATGTTGCCAAAACGGAGAATCTAGAAAGAATGGATGTCGAAAACGATTCATGACGGGAAATAATTTATAATCTTGACTAATGGGCTGAAGCAGCAAAAGCTGCTCAACTAGCTGAGTGTCATTTTAAGAATTCTCTCGGGTGGAAATTAGCGCCTCGCGAGACAAGAGAATGAAGATAGCTCTCTCGTAAGAAATGTGGCAATGCGTCTCGATGAAGACAGATGGTGAATCACAAAATCGTGAGAGCCAAGTGATCCAAGATCAAGAGCTGAAACAAGGAAATCAGGCGCGCATTTTTGAAAAATCAATTCGTCTCTCAGTATTGCAAGTGCTACTACGAATCACATCACTACTACGAAAACATGGTCATCGTTTTCTCCTTATATTGAATGTCTACGACTCACAGATTATTAATTTTTTTCACTATCTCTTCAGTTCACTTTTATAACTAGAATATTATGCATTAGTTTCTTTTTTATTTTCCTCGTTTTTCTCTTACGTTTTTTTTAGACTATTCTTTTCTCACAGTTCGATTGAATTGGATGAATACGAATACCCGAGTGGTGGCAAAAAAGTTGGCTTTATTTTTACTCGTACATTTTTACAGGAGTATGTTGTCTAGAAAATGAAAACAATTTTTTGATTTTTAGGAAAACACTTATTTTGAAATTTGACAATTCTATCAAACGACTTCACATTTTATCTCGTAGCTTTCAGAAAACAATTTCTGCATGGATATTCTCAGAATTGAATGTAGAACGGTATCAATTGACCACGCCACTTCTCCGAGTTGTCACTTGACAGATGACTTATTAATAGTGCACTCACAAGAGGTAAACGGACACCTCTGGAATAATTCTTAATAACTTACATTTTAAATAACCCGAACACGGAAGGAGCGGCCTACTTTAATTCGTGATTGTTGGTGTCGTGTTCACTGTCCATCACGTTAAAATGCCGCCGGCGGGTGAGTAATTCCCCCCAACACAAACAAGCAACGCCCACTGAAAGGGGTTTGGGGCGGGGCGGGGCGGGGCGGAGCGGGGCGGGTGCCACGGGCCGGGGGAAGGCGCACGCCTGCGCCGCGCCCATGGCGCCGTTCGCATTTCCGATCGACCGCCCGCCTCACCGGGGAAGGGTGGGCGGGGCGGAGGTAGCATGCGGACAGGGCTGAGCCTCTGCCCGTCCCGGGAGCGCTGCAGCTCCGGCCCGCCTCACCCCGCCCGCGGCCCGCCGGCCACGCCTTGCCCCCCGCTTGCAGGCGCCGCACCTGGGGCCTCGCGGGTCGCCTGGGGATGCGCCTCAGAGGAGCGGATAGGGACGCGGGAGAGGGGCGCAGGACGGGGACGGGGACGGCGGGGGTAGCATGCGGAAGCGGCTGAGCCCTCTGCCCGTCCCGGAGCGCTTCAGCTCCGCTCCGTCGCCCTGGGAGCTGCGTCGCCAGGGGATGCGCCTCGTTGGAGCGATTGCAGAAAGTCGGGGCGAGGCAACGGAACGGACGGAGCGGTGTCGGAGGCTGGGTCGGGAGCGGGGCGGGAGCGAGTCGGCGGAAGCGGAGCGCGGGCGGAGCGGGGCGGAGCGGGGCGGAGCGGGGCGGAAGCGGCGTCGGAGCGGGTCGGAGCGGGTCGGAGCGGGTCGGAGCGGGGCGGAGCGGGGCGGGCGGAGCGGGCAGAGCGGGGCGGTAACAGGGACGCGAGCGGGGCGGGGCGGGCGGGCGGAGCGGGGCGGAGCGGGCGGCGGCGGGCGGAGCGGAGGGACGGAGCCGCGGAGGACGGAGAGCAGGGAGGGACGCGAGCAGGGAGGGACGGAGCAGGAGGGACGGAAGCCGGGGAGGGACGGCAGCCGGGAGGGACGGAGCAGGAGGGACGGAGCAGGGAGGGACGGAAGCCGGGAGGGACGGAGGCCGAGGGGACGAGCTGGTTAGGGACGGAGCTGGGAGGGACCCAGGAGCGGGGAGGACGGAGCCGGGAGGGACGGAGCCGGAGGGACCGGAGCCGGGAGGGGACGGAGCCGGGAGGACGAGCCGGCGAGGAACGGAGCGAGAGCGACGGGAGCCGGGAGGGGACGGAGCGCGGGACGGGACGGAGCAGGGAGGGACGGAGCAGTGGAGGACGGAAGGCAGGCGAGGGACGGAGCCGGGAGGGACGAGCCGGGAGGACGGAGCAGGTCAAGGGACGGAGCCGGGAGGGACGGAGCAGGGAGGGACGGAGCGAGAGGGACGGAAGCGGGAGGGACGGAGCCGGGAGGGACGGAGCAGTGAGGGACGGGGAGGAGGGGGCGGAGATGTGTGGGGTGGAGCGAGGCGCGGGTCGAGTCGGGTCGAGGGTGGCATGCAGAAGGGCCCTCCCAAGCAGCCCCGCTCCGCCTATTCGGGCGGGGCTCCATAGCTACTCAGAGGGAATAATATAATTGATCCACGACTTTGATGTGTTGCGCAGGCTGAGATGGCTCTGACAGGGAGGTCCTAGGGATCGAGTTCCTTTGGTGGGGATTCTCTTGACTAGCTGCGTAGCTAGTTCGAGTTCATTAGGTCTCTGAAGGAGATTTTAGAGGATAGCTGCTGATAAGTAGGTTTCCGTGATTTCTTAAATGATCCGTGAATTCAAGGTGAATGCCTACCAGTACAAGAGGACCAGGACTATTCGCGATCTTTCCTTCCTTATCCGTAACCCCTCCTGTCTTACTTACACAAACACACACATGCACTGCATTGCTGAACATGTCGAGAGAGCAGTCGGGGGCTTACAACGTGCCTCGACTAGTGGAGGGGGCAGTTGGCGAAGATATTTGAATTAGGAAACTCACGAAAGTCTATTTATAGGTCGATGCTGGATCTCATATTCTAATGGGGGAGAAATATCGCCCCTCCCAGGACAGAGATTGCACTACACACGCGCGACTAATAACCATGGCAGTTGCGCCCGAAAACACGAAATAATCAGTTAATCAACCGGTCAGTGTGGTCGACTTCGATGCACAACCACCACTCTCAAACCATTTAGTATTAATTTCATTGTAGCGTGTAACATATCTACAGGCTATGATTTCATATACGTTAGAAGTCTAGATTTAACTTACGTAATATTGAAAACTGGTAAAGTTCGAATTGTACTGCCGTCTCAGAATTGTGGAGTTATCTTCAGCTTCGATAGCATCATTCCCAGAAGTTGCCATCCCAAGTTGAACTTTGTTTCTATAGTGGTTTTGAGTACATAGCTCTCCCTTTTGTCTCTTAAATTTAATGTTTAACGATGAAAGAGTTACAGCCTTGGAATTGGAATCGGTTATTGCCTATATATCAGTAAGACAAGTAATTTAACACATGAAGAAATCTTGATTAATTTACCATATGTGTAATTTAAAACTGTAGAGATTCATCGTTCATCTTATGTAAACTCTTATTAGCTTGATCCTCAGGACCGGATTTATATAGTAAGAGACCCTGAACGCGACCAAATAGGCTGCCCTAATAAAATTAATGAGCCGCCTCTCCAAATCAACGGGGTCTATAAGACATGCCTATAGTCTGCATTCTGCTTATGTTTTAATCTACCGTTGCTTATTGTAAAACAAAATTTGGAAATACTATAATTTATCATTTCTTCAGGAGCAATCAACTACCATGTGACAATGACTTTTGGCACCGAACTTAAGGGACCCCCGAGTGGATAGTCCATTATTAAAGGGCTGATTTTAATGAAATGTCACTTTAGAACAATGTCGTTTTCACTTTAGAACAATGTCGTTTAGTAACGAAATTCATTTTATGTTATGATAAAAGGAAATTACCCATTTTTTAATATAATTTTTTGCATTTTTCGTCAATTTCGATTAATAAGTCTTTTTATTTCTTTTTACGTAATCTTTAATGCATTTTTCGCCGATTTCATCAATTTGAATATAATTTTAATGGTACTTGCCTCAAACAAAAGTTACGAGGTGCAACACATGTTCACCACTGAATTCCTGAGTAGCCTATTCGAATTCTTCGCTCAAATATTATGTCAGTCGTTGTGAGTACAATGCAATCTAAGGTTCCTATGATGCCATTCTCAGTTCGGCCGATTTCGCGATAAATAAATCCAGAGATTTTCTTTTAAAGAATAGTCCAAACCAAAAGTGTCCAAGCTGAGTTCACTTGAAGAAGTCTGGATTACATCAGCTACCTACACAGCAGCATGAGTTGCTCATCTGAAGTTGGTTTGATAATTTTTTCACGTCTTTTTGTTTTTAGGGCATTATTAAAGCACTTTAAGAGCATTTTATTGATAATTTTTGAAAATTTTTTGGGTCATCAAAATCCACCATTCATTATTAGGAAACTTCGATCATGGGTGAAAAATATTTAAAATTATTTTTAAGCATTTTCCTTCGTGATACTCGTAATTTTGTGGTGTTTTCAGAAACGCATCCGCGACGTACTCAAGGATTCATGGGCAAAAAATCGACTCTCTCTTCGACTAAAGAACTGACTCAAATCAAATTTACAATTAGAAATCAATATTAAAACCTATCTGATCCTATGGAATACAACTCAGAAGAGCTGCAGCCAATTCAAACCTAGAAATACTACAATTTCAGTTAAAAACTTTAAGATTGCTTGCCATTGCCCCGTGAGTTGTTTCAAATAAAACATTGCACATTACACATCCCTACAATACGCCAAGAAATTCAATCCAGCTTTCAAAAATATCATAAACGCCTACAAAAATTACCCAAACCACCTAGTACTGAATTTTCTCGACACAAGCCGAGCCTAAAGGAGATTAAAGAGTTTTCACTCCATAGGTCTCAACATAGTTTTGAGTTTTAAAACAAAGACTACATGAAATTTCTGTAATAATATCTGAAAAGTGTACTGGTTTTAACTAAAACAATTAGGAATTTATTTTAAATTTATTAGAATGCAATTACGTCATGAAAAGTAAATATATTATATAGAGTTATGTTGTACTTGTGTGCCTTGTCATAATATTATTGTATTTAATTCCTTTTGTGTTTCTGATGAATATGTTACATTTATAGAGTAGCTATTTATAATTTTCGTCACTAAAAAAGTCCGCGAAGTACTGTGTGTGAACAGTTTCTTTGCATATCTTTACAAATATGTGAACATATTTGCCTATTTCTCTGAAGAAACAGCAAATAAAAATATATTAAATTGAAAACAAAAATGTTCTCGAGGAATTCAACCAAGTTTTCGGTGAATCTCAAAATGTGAAGGAAAATAATCTCTTTGAAACGCAAAAGCAAAACCTTCCCGTAATCAAGATTTGAATAAAACGTTTCAAAATTAGATTTTCAGTATCCTTGACACGACAACGGCGTAAGCTATGCAAGCAAATTCCTACTTTTTTTAAAAGTGAAAGTTACACCTTTGTTCTTAAATAGTTTCAAATCGATAATTCACATTGATATTCAAATATACAAGTGGTGTTTCATATATCTGACTAGATGAATTATTGTATGATTGTCTCTTAATAATATATATTTAGAAGCTAGTACCAATTATTTGTAATTGCACGTAGAGCAAATTGTAAATGGAAACGTGATTCTCAAAGGAGAATCGGCAATTCCAGAAAAGACAATACGCAATATACAGTCATTTTCAATTATCCTTTATTTTTCACAATGTTGTTCTTTATTTTTTTAGAACAAATAAATAAATGAATGTCCACTTTTTGAACTGAAACGTTAATTTAATCACAAAAAAGTAGGTTGGGAAGGATCAATACCTTTTGTTTGCATACAATTCTGGTTTGGGGAAGATATCTTCCAACTGATTAGATAAGAAGGTCATGCACCTCCTAGAACAAATCCGCATTGCCAGCATTGGCAATAACTTAGCCATATGGTATTTTAAGAAACATTGTCATCAGTGGTATCATATAAACCAGAACTAATGAAACTATACAAAAGAGACGCATTTAGTTAAATCGCTTTTCAAACACATTGTCAATGTTACAGATGTTTTTAATAAGAAGCAATTATGCATATTTCATTATAATCTGTAGGATACTGAGGAAATGATAATTTCTTATTCACCATCTGCAGGAGCACATGTACTGTGTTGCATCAGATTTTAATGAAGGAAAAACACATTGTCATTACTTCAACAATTAACATCGTCATGTTTTTCCCTGAATGACATGTCCAAATGTGTATCGTTGTCGGAGTGTTGACAACATCTTGAGACATATTCATCCAATGTAAAAATATGCATAAAATATATTACAAAATTGTTAGATGTTATGAGTTGTGATTTCTACATCTTTTTGAGAGCGTTACATCACCGATTATTTTTCCAGTGATGCGAGGGCGTACACAATAGTATTGATTAAGGAATGACTTATCCCAGCAATGCAAACAATGAACCTGCCTCTTACACAGACCACGCCTCTCCATGAGTTGCCAATTCAGAGAGACAAAAGAAAAGCTTACGAGAGTGGCAATGAATGCTTGAAACAAGAGAGTACTGTAATTTTTAAAATGGGTTTTCTCTCGATATATTCGTTTTCTACGGTCCAATTTTTGTGCTGCTAGATAGTGTGTAGTTGAATTGTATGATATTACGAAAATGCGTGCAGGACTGACGATCACTACGTTATAATCATGTATTAGGACCACCACATCATTATATATAATGTATTACTAGCAAACTACGCTTTGTAATTCCACGCAGCAATTGTTGAAATAGTATATGTGTTTACCGAATGCTCATTGTAAGAGTTCAAGTTTCTTCATGAACGCAACACAACATGGGAACCTAGGACCGGGAAGTTCGAGTCAAGTGACGTGTGGATGTGGGCGGATTTTCAACACGTTAGGTTGCTGGGGCGACTGCTCTTATCTGTCTTTTCCGTGGCTTCCCATCAACTATTTCTGGTGAACGCCTGAGCAGTACATAAAATTGTAGGCCTCGTGCTGTTCTTCCTTCTTCTTCATGTCCTCACTCACGTCACGTTCTTAGAACTTCTATGCACGAATGGCTAATGCACATTTGAACATTGTTCCCCAACATGCATTCGAATGCACATTCCCACAAAAATGAGTCATCATGAGTTATTTTTAGGCAGTTCCGAATAGTGATTTATATTGTATCTAAGAAAATTGCGGTTATCTCCATACTTTCTATTAGTTAATAGATATATTATGAAAGAAATGGAAAAATAAATAATTTATGTGGTTTAAATATTTTTGAAGTTTTCTAAGAAAACTTGATGTTGATTTATAATAGTGAATTTCTTGTCTGGATTTCTTAATACTCACTTTGATAATTACTGTAGTTTTAAGAATTGTACTTACAACAGTGTTGACAGTGATTCTCTTCATACATCCATTAGAGAAGACAAAATATACATAAAAATTTATGATTCAAATTCCCGACGTAGAAGTGCTCAAACAATAAACCCTATCGACCCCTTCCATTTTGTCCATTTTGTTGAGTAATTTGGTTAGAAACAACCGAATAGACAGCTAGCTTCGGATTTCTTTATTTTTCGAGCTTGTTTAATTGTCAAAGTTAGTTTCTGTCTTTCTGAAAACGTTACTCTTCTAGCATTTCAAAGTGACAATGGGATGAGCTGGCAAAAAACGTAGCAATCCCTTCAAAAAAGAAAGCATATCATCGCATTATAAATGGACTATCCCTCATGATCTCTCATGAAAAATTGGCAGCACTGCAAAGAAGGGCGTCTATGGGGGGAGAAGGGACCCCCCGCTAGTATTTTCAGGAAAATCCAGTAGTTTCATTTTGATTTCATTTTCTTCATATTTATAATTCATCAATTTTTACTTTCTGGCAATCCCTTACGCAGTAGAGATAGTTACGTAATGCTGCGGGAAAAAACGGCGGATTTTCGAAAAAATATATTGCCGGGTCCTGGCAACGAAAAAGTGGGGAAGTCCAGATGCTATATTTAGTAAGAAATCCTCTAACACGTGATGTAGTCAGAATCCGTTTCTTGTGAATCCTTGAAACCGAAAAATCGATTGCGGGTCAAATGTCCGTCCGTCAGTCTGTCCGTCCGTCCGTCCAGTGTATGTGAACAACACTAGCGTCTAAACTATGCGTACGATTTTTCCTAAATTGAGGAAATCCTTGCCAATCTGGCCTGAGTAAAAGCTTTGCGATTTTGAAAAAAACATTAATAAATTTTTGGGGTACTTTACATAAGCCCCAGAGACATTTTCAAAATTTTCTAAAAAATAGTCCAAATTTGTTTCTTTGAATTTCTTATAAGAATAAAGGAAAATACAGTAATAAATGTGACAAAGGTCATATTTTTACTGATAACTCTCAATTTTCGGCAATTGCAAAAGTTTGCTTTTTTTCGGCGCCTTCCTACAACTACAAAATTGAAGATAGAGTTTTTACTTTAAATGAAATTTGTTTATAAATAGTTTCTTCATTAAGGCTATGTACATTTTTTGAAACTTTTAGTAGTTTTCGCGCAATATTGCGTGCAATATGTGCAATTTTAAAAAATAACAAAAACAAGATTTACTCAAAAACGGTTGCAATTTTTTTCTTAAACTTTTAGAACGAATCGTGCTAAATGTGGTCTATGAGATAACATAAAAGTCATTTTGATATACTTTTTTGCTTTTTCAAAAATTGTAAAAGTGAAAATGTTTAGTCCTGTGTATCACGTCTTTTAATATTTACTCTAGCGGCGAGTTGTTTACATTATCGCATTTAAGAGTACATGTGCTTTAAATTATGTCTCATAAAGTACGCAAACTAAAAAAAATTCTGTGAAATCGAGTTCAAAAATCTGTATTTTCAGAGATACTCAACCGCCATTTTCTCAAAAATGGTTCCAAATTTTTCATAAAAAATTGCCATTTCTGAAAATCTTCTTTAATATTCTGAAAGAAATATATTTCGATTCTACCATTAGGAATCCGAAAAATTGAGAGAGAAAAAAAATGTACATTGGGAGGTGGTAGATCGCAGCTGGAAAGAGTGTCAAGTCCGAATAGCTAGCTCAGGCCAAAGAAAATATAAAAGTAATGCGGGAAAGTCTGTGCCTTTCTGCAGCACCACTAGTTTCATTATTCGTTTATAATTTTGATAGTGTATGTTATTGAATTCACGGAGAGCTCAAACATAAATTCATCTTTTTTCTTCTATCGATCAGCATGAAATCACCCGTGTGTCGTAAACAAAACAACCAAAATATACAAGATACCACAGTGAGCTGATAACGTACTAATACGGAAACTTGACATATTGGAAGGATAGATGCCAACGCTGTCAATAGTTGACTTTTCCTTTTCTCGTCGTCAGCCTGATGTGATATCTTTGAGTATTTTGAATATGTTTTGTTGATAATGCGATCACTTTATTTATTTCAATAAATCAGAAAATAAAATTATCGTTGTTTAAATTAAAACAACGCGGGAATACACTCTTCTTTTGATGTTTCCCCATCGCCAATTTAAGTGCCAGATTCACCTGGCCAAACACCATTGAGGGTTGCAGAGATAGAGAAG